GAGTACGAGAAACTAGCAGGAGTAAAGCTCCAAGACTCTATCCAAGACGAGATGGACGGTGATTTACGCGATGGTCTTGTCATGTTGTTGTCATGTGTGCAAGATGGCAACAAGACTCAGGCTGACAAACTACACGCTGCCCTACAAGATGGCGATACTAGTACTGTAGCAAGAGTCATTGCTGGAGCTGAAAAGGTATAGAAAATATCATCTACGTACGTTTTTCGCTTTGCTATTTTTCTTGAAGGAAATAAATAAAATCAAAATTATAAGAGCCACACAAACGCACTAAATGYAGCRGAAAGTGAGCATGATGCAGTTTAGATCGAGTTTCCTTATGGAACGATTGAGCAATCAGYATCCAATRTGTAATAATGTTTTTGTAGGATAAATTGGCAGAAATTGAGGCTTCGTATAACGCTAACAACAAACCAAAGCTGTACTTTGAGGTGAACAAGAAATGCAGCGAGGACTTGAAAAAACTCATTCTTCACAAGCTACAGGGTGAGATTGATAGTTTAAAAAAATAAACAGTGAAGTGTATTTTGTTTATAAAATTCCATTCTTCTTCTTCGCTGTGTATTTATTTTCATATTTTTGCTTTAAGACAAAAAGCAGGAAAAGGCGAAAACTCCACCAAAGGTTGGTATAGTGCCCGGAAAGAGCATATTTAGTAGAGGGGAATTTCCCCTCTACTAACTATGGAAAAAGTCCACAAAGCAAATACGGTACATTTATTTAAGCTTATTCTTTGCGATATTTTTTGCCTCTTCGTTAGAGCATCAACAAAAAGCAGTCRAGTCTATCTAAGAACGACAAGAAACCACAGACCAAGAACGCTGCTGGTGCTGGCAACAAGAAAACTACAAAGAATAAAGAAAAAGAAAGTCAAGAAGAAGAAGATGAAGTCACGCAGCTTTACAAAGCAATTGAAAGTAATTAGAATTACTTGTTGAAGGGTCATGTTCAACAGACATCCCCTTCGAGGTTTTGTTTATGTTTGAAAACCAAAATACAACGTGATATAAGCAAAACTAAATTGTTCTATGATTCGGAAGATTTCGAATTGATATTTGAAGTCACRTCTTTTTTCAAATATGAAAAATCTAACGACCGCATGGCATGTCGGTTAACCATTGTCCTTTAAGCTCCAAATTATCGAATAAGAAACTCGACCGCATGGGATGCCGGTTAATCATGACCCTTTAAGCTCTAAATTATCGAATAAGAWTGACTTTTTGATTGTAACCGTTTATTATATTGATTAACTCGTATTTATGCAGGGAACGACAAGAAAAAAGTCACAGAAATAGTTGTAAGAAATGCAACGGAGAAAGACAAGCTAGTGAAGCTACAAGATGATTACAATAAGAAGTATTCTAAGGTAAGAAGGGACAGACTACTTCTATCGCCAATTATGATCATCTATCGATGGAAATAGACGCTTTCAAAAGCATCGCGGGCTCTTGCATAGGAGWRWTTTGGTTATATACAGACCAAAAATGCCCCTTCTCATGCCCCCGGCCGCCTTTGATATCTTTGSTCGMGCATCTCGGAGAAGCCAGTGATGATACTTGTCTAATTAAGGCTCATAAAGATTTTGATGAGCATGCGCAGTGCTGATGATTGTGATTTGAATTGKGCTGATTTGATTATYTAATTACAAARTAACGCCATTTTTTCAGGATTTGGTGGAGGAATTGGACTCCAAGATGGACGACGATGTTCACGAGGCGGTTGCCATCATGATTTTACCACCAGCAGAAGCAGATGCAAGGTCAATGTATTACGCTATGAAGGTAGTTTCATTCATCGTCGGTTGTACTGTCTTAGTTGTTTCTGATCAACAGTTTTCTTTTTTAAAAAACAGGGAGTTGGCACAAACGAAGTTCATTTGATCGAAATTCTTTGTACAAAATCAAATGAGGTAAAACTTTTCCCCCTTTTTGCAGAAATAATTACCAACCTGGTTTGTTTTTCCGAAATCCATTCTTTATATTATTTTCCATTCATTCATTTTTTACTGATTTCATTCATTCATCCACTCATTTGTTTCTTCAATGTGCCGAGTTCTCAAGTTCACTGATACTTTATAGATCTCTGATATATGTTTTCACATTTAATTTAGCAAATGGCTGCAATGAAGAAAGAATACCAGAAAAGTAAGATTCTGATACAACCAAATAACTTAGATTAGTTCTACATTAGAAGAAAACAATGTCAAAATATCAGTGAGCCGATTGAATAAATGCGGCACAATGTTTCCTGAATTGCGTTATAATCTTGCATTATAGAATACGGCCGTTCATTGGAGCAAGATGTCAAATCAGAAACAAGTGGTGACTTTGAAAACTTACTTACCGCCTTGATGAAGGTATTGCTGCCTGTCAAAGTTTTTAATCAAACACCTGATGAGACCCTTACGTCCTTGTAGCAAGAAACACCATGGCTGTTTGTTTGTTTGAGTATTTAAAAGCTGCGAGCAACAGTTTCTTTACACAGCTATTTTCATTTTTTGGCACACAGGGAGATCGAAGTGAAGCATCCAAAGTAGACGAAGAAAGCGCGCGAAAAGACGCGTCTGCACTTTACGAGGCGGGAGTCAAGAAGTTAGGGACAGACGAGGACAAGTTTATTGACATTTTGACCAGTAAAAGCAATGCTCATCTCCAAGCAGTCATTGCTGAGTACGAGAANCTACAAGATGGCGATACTAGTACTGTAGCAAGAGTCATTGCTGGAGCTGATGAGGTATGCTATCTTTGTCGGATGTATTGTTGTACAGTCAGTATTAAAGCAGCTTTGCGACCAATATGCATATGATAGGATGACCCGTAACTTTTGATGATTATGATGATGATGATGATGATAATAAAAAAATTTCCTTTCTTCGTTTGATAAATCCAACATTATATTTTAGGACAAAATGAAGGACATTGAGGATGCGTACAATAACCTTTATGATCCTAAGTTGTACTTTGAAGTGGATAAAAAATGCAGCGAAGACCTCAAGAAGATAATCTTGGATAAATTGAAAGGTAGGAGCACTGATCATAAATCCGAAATCAGTTTGATTAAAATGTTTATTTTTATTTTATTTTTCTCAAGATAAAAGTGAAACAAAGAAAGAGCGAGCACAACAAAACAGTGCAAATAAAAACAAGAAAGATAACGTGGACAAACCTGCTGACAACGAAAAATCACCCAATGAAAATAATAACACCGCATCTAGCGAGAAACCTACCGATGAAAGCCAACAGGAGCAGGAAGAAAATGGCGGCAAAGAAGAGCGACCTAAAATCAACGTAACAAAGGTATTTTTCATTCTGCAACTCGTTTCAAATTTTACCACATCGCAAATATAACTTCATTTTGGATTCGTTGTTTCTCGTACTGCATCAATGTAGAGTGTACCTTTAAGTTAAAGGTGCTACTTGGAATAAATGATTATTTTTAATGTTTGTTGAACAACATTAGGTCGAGCATCATGGGACAATAGTCGCTGCTAAGGATTTTGATGCTGAGAAAGACGCTGAAAAATTGAAGACAGCAATGAAAGGATTTGGTGAGTATTTGAGCTGTGCGTCAGAATGACAAAAGAAATGGATAAGATGAATGAATGAATCGCCATCTTTATTGATGTCACGTGTATGTTTACTGATATAATGAAGGATAAATATTGAATGAATTAGTAAATAAATGGATGGAGGATATGTTGACTAAACGCGATTTCTTCATTTCGTGTTGATATTTTGTATGTTACTATTCACAGGAAGCGATGAAGATGCCATCATCGAGGTGTTGTCATCCTGCAGTTCAGCTCAAAGACAAGAAATGATAGCTGCTTTCAAACAAAAATACGATAAAGTAAGATTAAAGTGACACTCAGTTRAAAMTTWMATCGTTTTAAGCGTCTAGGATATGAAATAAGCATGCRCAATGGACTCGAAGCWGCATGMTAATCAGGCTAACACYAGTCTTGCGTCGTCCTTACACAAAACGACATTTGTTGCAGGACCTTATAGAAGAGCTGAAGTCTGAACTGAGTGGAAAATTCGAAGACACAATTGTTGGTCTGTTGTCAACTGCTGCAGTCTACGATGCCATCTCTGTAAATGGTGCAATGGAGGTACAGACCTTTTTACGTTTATGCGAGGCGCATAGTCGTTGCATTTGTTTCAGTACTCGAGTGCATCTGAATGAATATTAAGAACGCTATTAGCTATAGCTTATATTACGTCACATCTCTACGATTTTCTATAGGGACTTGGTACCAACGAAGGTGTGTTAGCAGAGATAATATGCTCACGCTCAAGCGAGGTAAAAAGTGTAATTTTTATCATTATTGGGCATTCTCACCATAAAATATACCTTGTCCTTAATTTGATGATGTTAATCGACATACCATGACTAAAACACGCATCCATTTATCGCAAATTCTTATTATTTAATTCAAAGGAACTCCAAGACATCAGCCAAGTGTACAAAACCAATTACAGCAAAGATCTGGTAGAAGCAGTTAAAGACGAGACGAGTGGAGATCTTTGTGACTTACTTACAKCCCTSTTWCAGGTTAGATACTTACAGTTGTCATATTGACTGACCTCTTGGAACTGAACTGGGTCAGTGTGTTTGTTAATTAAAAGTGAGAATGTAGAATTGATACCCGTGAGCGATCCGCGATAAAATAAGCTGACTATTCTACAGTAGATATCAGCCATAGTACCTCATTCTACTGCAAAACCTTTCTCTGATCATGCGCACCATGTTTTTATAGGCGAAAAGGCCTTCAGGTGAAGACTTTGATGAAGATGCTGCTTATGGAGACGCTCAGAGACTTTATGAGGTAAAAATTCCGTCATGATGAAAATGATGAGCTGTTCATGGCAGGAAACTAATGATTTGTTTATTTTTTTTTTGCAGGCAGGGGAAAAGAAATGGGGCACCGATGAATCCATGTTTGTAAATATTCTAACAACACAAAGTATCGTCCAATTAAAGGCAATATTCCAAGCTTATAAAAACGTAAGTTAACTGCGTGAATTTTGCGTGCGTTTAAATGTAGAATGATGCGTAAACGCAAAGAGCAAGTCGCACACAATGGACTGTCTGATACTAAGAAAGGATATTTTCAACAATTCACAGGTTTCAAAGAAAGACATCCTCGAATCTATTGAAGATGAGTTAGAAGGCGACTTTCAAAAAGCGGTTAAAGTCTTAGGTAATTGACACAGTAAAATGGTTTGTAAATGGTTGTTCTACGTATTGAATAACTCCAAAAATATCATCGTTTATGTGGTCTTATGTTGTAATATTCATTTTTTTGACAGTGATATGTATGCAAAATCCACCAGAGTATTTTGCAGAGAGTCTTCACGAGGCTTTAACTGGAGTTATTACCAGTAACTCAACAGTATCCCGAATCATTATAACGCGATGTGAGGTAATCTAGCCACGGGGAGGATGGGGTGGAATGTTTTATTGTTTAGAAATCGAGCCAGTACATCTAAGAATGCGGTTGTTTTGTTGTTTAACGACTCCCCAAACATACTACAGTGGTATGCGCGCACCAAAGCTGACGGATTAGTGATTGATTCCTGTGTTGATTGATTGATTCACGTGATTAATTGATTCAAATGATTCAGATTGATTTGTTTATTTAATTCACTGGATGATTTCAGTCGATTGCATGATTAGTTCATTGATTCTGAATAGAATTCGCGTCCTATAAGCTGATAATAATATCATTATATTTATTAATGATATATATATAATCAATTATTATTATCATTCATATGTTAATTACTTTTATTTTAGATTGATCTCGTGGAAATCAAAAAGGTTTATCAGGATAAGTATGGCAAGTCTCTATTAGACGATGTCAAAAACAGCCTAAAGGGAGATCAGGAAACTTTACTCCTAAAACTTCTTGGGGATTAGCATATATCCAACCTTAATGACCGTAGAGAACACCCCTTATATACCTTAAAGAACATTCCTACTTGTTCCTATAGCTGGCGAAACATACTAGCCTACCAAATTGTTATGAAATGTATATACATAAGCCTGTAATTTTTCTACAAAACATGAAATAAAATATCAATTTAATAATTTCAAGTATTGATTCTTAAAATATAGTCTAACGAATAGGCTCCTCTTTGAAACTCCTTCCGGAAGTAGCCGCAAGGCTGGGAATTGAACTACATGCCTACACCTATCACTTCTTTGATTGTATTAATGATTTTATCTTTGGCGCCCCGTACCGGGAACATTACGTGTAGCTAATAGTTTGTAAGGGACTGCGCAATATTTAATCTAATTTTATGTCCTTCAAGATGGAGGACAACGTCTAAAATTAACTAGAACTTTAATTGGAAACTGAAAAATCAACGGTGCCAGATTCTGTGCTTTTTGGCCAAATACTTATTGAAGTGGAAAACGTGTCAAGAAAAGGGTGCAACGATCTGCGACAACTCTTAACTCACGAATAATAAATAAATAAATTAACGAGGGGGGGGCGTGATGTATATCGTTTTCGAGGGGGTGGTAATTAACTTTTTTGACTCATTTCTCAACCCTTCCCTCCCCCCCTCCTGAGTAATATTGCGCAGTCCCTAGGCCTTCCCTGAAGGTGCCCTGTGAGGTCTTCGTTATTGATGCTCTTGATTATGTTTGTATTTCTGTAACTGTCTGGTCTTGATCTGTGGGATGCGGGTGTACACGTACACTACGTGAAAACCGAACCCTTGAGTTCCTRTCGTARCGTGATGACCTCCTAACCRCTTGATGGCTYAATACATGCCGTGTGTGATTATACTCCCTGAAGTACAAATTAGTAAAAACAAGGTTTAAAAAAACACCYACTAAAGTGAGAAARACRACCGCAGCAGTCGTTCCAGACGAGTACCATTTACGCACGTTAGCCGCGGAGTAGTARAGCGTCACCATCATGACATTTTCGGCTGCAAAGATTCCGTAGTACAGTCCAGCAGATAGCAAAGAGCGAGATATCTTCAGCTCGAAAGTTCGTAGGTGAATTTGCTTAACAGTGAAGCCTAAATAGATGAATACATAGCACGGGAGAATGAGAACCGCAACCCACCATACGTCGGTGTCCGCGAAACGTTTTCTATTGATGGTGTAATAAATTATGATGCATATTATTTGGTGACAACCCAACACGGCCGCCGTGACCCATGAATGAGATATGATAAATGTCACAATTGTGATTATTCGTGCAATGAGCAGAAATGCGTTGTAAGTCACGATAATTAGAAAATACGTTTTAACGTCTTGGACCCCAGGAAGTGTCCTGTTTTCAAATGTCGCTATTGTGGAAACAAGACTRATCAAGGAAAAWGTAATGGACGCTATTTGAATCCAGTGTATGGCTTTTTCTTGTCCATTTAAAGTGTGYATTTGTAAAATCATTTGAGGTATATCTTCCATTAGGGACTGCACAAAATCATTGACAACGGAAATCCTGATGATATTTTTATCTTGGTCTTTTGTGACTAAATARCCRTATCGATTSCACACTTCTTTGCGATTCTTGATACACAATGTAAATAAACGAAGCTTTAACATTCCTGGTCCAAACAATCCAAGGTAGCACAGGTCTCGACAGGCTTTTAGCACACCATCACTCCTAATGTGTTGTAATAGGTGGGCAAAAGTCATCGCAACCGAAGGCGCTAGGGCAAAAGCTAAGCAAAAACCAAATTGTTTGTACTTGGAGGCTTGGAAGTACAGCACACAGGTAGCGATGTCAGAACCGACATCGGCCCAAGCAAACAGCGTACCAACGAGATATTTTAAGAGGTCGTACTTATAAAGTACTTTAGTGCGCTCTAGTGGCATTTCAGGGTCAGTTCTAGTAGTGCTTGCGGTTTCATCAGTTTGTGACATGGATGATTTAAGTCATAAACAACTGATACAATCACTGCCTGATGGGTTCTTCACTGGTCAGCTTATCAATACCACATCGTCTGAATCAAACGGTAGGAAACGGTGTCTTTTTCAGAAGTTAAACCAACCACCAAAGCAAGTATAATTGGAAGTTTGTTCTTGGGATAATTTCTAGTCGTGTTTGATTTAGTAGACTAATCTTGAGGAACATTAGAAGGCGGTACAAAGGTACGTCCTATAATATGACACCGTTGCTAGGTAAGGATGGATTGTGTGTTTACATGTACCACGTGATGATGGAAATCGAACTTGTTGGATTTTCATCCTTTCTTTCATTATTTCACTTCTTTTAATCTAAATAAAATGTGCTTTTTTGCTATTTAATCATCTTATGAGTCACGCACGGTTCAACTTTCCTTCTTTCAATTTTGCATTTTTCGCTTAAGTTTCTTTTTCATTATTTTTTTTTCTTTTCAACTCTACTGACGTCTTTTTTCTTTCTTACTTACATGTAAATCATTTCATCTCTTCAGCATTTTTTATTTCATTTTTTTATCAAAACATTCCAATTATTTAAGTATATTTTTAAAAAAAAAGTCAATGAGTAAAGCTGTGATCACTGCTCGTTCATTCATTCCTAATTCATTCACACAAAAATCGTTCGCCTTTGTTTATTCCGTCATTTTTTATTTTTTCCCTTTCGTCAAAAGCTAGTTGTATGGGAGGGGAGGGTGAAATTGTCTGATCATACAGATTGATATCCCAGACTACCACTCTGGCGTCCTAAAATGGCGGAAAGAAGCCACACACTTACGGTGACATCAATAACAACTATGTTTTTGTATTTAATCCTATCTATGCACAGCCATTTTTCCTCTTAGTACTAAATTAACTCAAATACCTTTGCATTGGTTTGAAAAAGTGCTCAAGATGCCCCGGACAAGCAGAAAAACYCGCGTTCAAAGAMGKACWTGTGTCAAGTGCAAAATGTGTGGCAGTCTTGTAAAACACGAAAACCATGAGAAAAAGTCTTCAAAAGATGTATCCTTGCTTTGAGGTTGTAGTTTTTTAATCGTATGTTATGTTGTTGTTCTGGGCTACCTGCAAAGAAACGGGTTCCACAGTGAGACAAGTTATGTCAGTACACGAGTGTCAAACATAGTGCAGAATGCGTAAAGGCGAATCTGACAGGACAACGTGCTCACACGAAAATAATCTTCAACTCCCTTACAACGTATGAAGTTGTTTGCTAAAATTATTTCTCTTGCATTCTTTGTAGTTAAACGACTGTCGTCTAAAAACCACCGGTTTGTACCAGTTACACACTATAAACAACAACAATCCAATGAAAGTTTTACTTATATGTAACGAACTTTCAGAATGATAGAATGATGTAAAAATGTTTAAATTTGTACTATCGCCATAATTTTTTATTATATTTATATTGAATTTATTTATAACTTTAAAGCTAATGACAGAACAGCTGACAAAGTTCTCCTCATTGCTGTGGAGTATTGTTTCATTTGTTTTTGGGCATGCATTTTTTTTTTACCTGTAAGGTGCAGATATTTTTCGTAGTTTCTTGAACCATTTTAGAGCAGTTTTTTGTATGACTGTGAAACGTTACGAGTCAAAGCATCATGGGTCATAGCATTGGTCATAGCAGTAATACCATTATATGGAAACACTGAATCAAGGCTGCAGTACTTAGAGTCAGGTTAAATCAGAAAACATGTAGCATGCTGGCTAAATTTCGAAAATATTCTGTCTCAGCTATAGATTACTGTTTTAAGCTCGCATGTTTCTGAAAAGACTAAATTGACAAACATCAAAGATACATGTAGCAGGCAACAATGTAGTGTGCAGTATGTATACTAGTTTACGCAATCTTTTCAGTTTATTCAAGGGAATGGCATGAAAGTCCCATAAATTTGAAACATTCAAAAATTAACTCCTTCTACCTTTCCAATCTGAACTGAATACTTTTTCATAGAATGTGAAATCTGTTAAGAGTACCTGCCACGTGTCATGCAGAGTAATTTCCTTCTTTTTTTGTTTGGGATAGTGTCAAAAATATTTTGATCTAGTAATGCATCCATAATAGAAAATTCCTTGACAATGAATTTTAGATTCCAGGTTATTTTTATGATGCAGAAAAGCAACGATATTTTAAGATAACAAATGAAACAAAGGACAAGTATAAATCTCAGAGGAAAAAGAAAGAGCCAACGTTTTGTGAAACGTGTACAAATTATAAAGCAATTCAAGAAAGGGTAAGTAAACATACTCTTTTTGAAGGAAGAAAGTTAATTAATGACCCAGTTTACTTTGTACCAAGTGATACAAGGGAATGAAGAGTGACATAGTTTGTTGTTTGTGCTCTCTAAGAGGATAGGAAAAATACTATGAAAGAAATACCTACCTGTGCGCTGATACGTCTGTGAACATGCAGGAAGATGGAGAGTACACTCAAGACACTAGAACACTTACCTTGCTTGTGTTCCCACATTGTTTGTCTGAGCGCAAATCCATTTCTTAATTTGAATGCATCTGCTTTACAAAAGATCTGTATCAAAGCATAAAACTTTACCAAACTGCTGTTGAGACTCCTCCTCAAATGGGAATGAACTCAGAGCTGGAGAAGTTGTGACCTTTGTTTTATTTTTTGATTTGAAGTTGTCAACATTGTGGCAGCTAGCACTCCTCCATTTGTGTTTCAAAATTTCAACAATTGCACAAAGAACATCTTTCAAATAGCTAAGCAGCTGTGTGTTTGTTTTGATTTCCAGAAAAGACGAAATTGCTCAGTAGTAAAACAAATTGTATCACAACAGTATAAACACAGAACACCTTGGAGTTTACGAAGGTAAGTCCTTCACATACTTGTGTACTTAGTAGTGTGTTTTCTTTGTTGAATAGTTAATGTAGCAGAAGATTTATTGCTAAAATAGACATAGTAATAAACCATACAATTAAAATTGAGATTTGATTTTGTAGGGAAACTCTTGAAAGCCTAGTTAGTAGTTACTATGTCAAGGAAAAGATGGACATTGAGTTAACACACCTTGATCCATGTGACTTTGCTGTATGTCAGATAGAGGTACACCGTACAGTTGCATTATATCTTCTTCTATCTAATATATTACATTATTATGAGTACGATGGTTTAATTCTTATTCTCGTTCCTTTTGTTATTCCTTGATGCTGTTCATATTCTTTGGCTGCCTTGCTTTGATGCAAAGGCATGGCTACCTTCCATGATTGTGCAGGGAACCATGAGGGAGAATATTCTGATTCAAAATTCAAAATTCCCAATTGCCATTCATTCTTTCCTTTACCCTTTTCTATTTCCATTTCCATGTAATATCATCATTCTACCAATAACAACATTTTCCAACATTTATATTCAATTAACTTAGATATTTCTGATGTTTTGAATCAGTGTCCACTTCTTTGCTCCCTGTTCATGACATTTTTATCCTTTCATTTCTCTAATTTATTTTTGTTTCTGTTCCTAAATCTTACTGTTAAAATATTATCCATTACAGCCTGATTTGAAGTGCCAAAAGGTTTTAACACTATATAAAACAATCAATGCTGAACACCAAATGTAAGTTTTCTGAACAACTTCTTTCTAATTTCTTTGAAAACATCTTTTGCAAGACCTGAAAATGATAAAAACTTAATGTTGAACTTCTAATTTGTAAATTTGATATTATGTTGTGATATTGTAGTGTCCAATTCCATCAAGTGGAAAGGGAATCAAAAAGTAAATTGACACTCGTTCCTGGTACGGCAATGATGAAGAAACAGGTGAGCTATGGAAACCAGTATTATAAACTGACAAATACTATTGTAACATTACAATATCCTTGTTACATAGCTGTACACAACCATTGTGTCATTATTGCTGAATGGTAGACATGTTTTTGATATGACCAATAGCTACTAGTTAGAAATATTTTGTGAAAGTAACACCAAAATGGTTGACGTGCATGTAAATGATAAAATACTCTGTTGCAGCATTGTCTTGAACTCAAATATCATAAAAATGCTGCATGACTATGCTAATTTCAATATCTGAGTAATTCCATAAGAGTTCTCAAGATTATTGCTTAAAAGGCAGATGTGTTAATGTTTGGTTTATCACATTGTAGGCTGTTACATCTCTTCACTGGAGTCCTCACCCAAAGACATCAGAGTTCTTTTTGTATCCTGAAGGAAGTCTTTATTGTGTGAAAAAAACCTCTAAGATAGTTCTTCTTTTATGTTTTGATATAGGATATCCCTCCCTTTTCCTTCCATTCTTACTCCCTTCTATTATTCACTTTCTCCCTTTCTCCCTTCCTTTTGTCCCTCCCTCTTTCCTTCATTCTTCCCTCTTCCCTATTTGATGTAGGCTACAAGGAATATGTTTGACCTTTAGGTCAGACAATATACATGTATTATCATACTTATATGAGGATTATACATTTTGATTAGTGTTCAGTAACAAGGGTTAGATGTATGAAGTGTGAATGGCACTATCCACAAGATGAATCCTTATCAAGTGGTTAAAATCCAGGCAAAATCTAAGTCCGGGTTGATATCTTGGGCCAGTTGTATGAAGGATGGATACAGATAGCATAGATTTTGTTTGAATTTATCTGTTAGATTAGGGTATCTGGTGGATAGTACTATGCAACTAGCCCCTACTTTCTTTCACTTCTCAAGCATGCAACTGCCCTTTGACTTGTATAAGTAATGTGTAGTCAATAAATAAATAGTTTTCTCCTTAATGTATTACAAGAATGTCATTATTAGGATGTGATGGAAAGTGGGGAGAAGGGATGCTTTTCCATACCAATGGAGTCATGCAAAGTAAGATTGTTAAGTGCATTCTAGGGGTTGCCCAGTTGTTCAAAGCTCGATTAGTGCTCATCAAAATTAATGCTAATAAGGTAGAAATTTCTTTTAATGATTGCTATTATAATAGTATTAGGTAGCTTAGTAGTATAATTTACAAACTAGTTTTTGATATGTTTGATGATGTTAGTTTATAATAATTTGTTTGTTTTCTTTTCAGCATTTATAAGTCGCTATCCCATGAATCATCATTCAGTGTGGACAAGTGCCTGGTGTACTAATCCATTCTATGATAACATCATTAGCATGGGTAAATATCCCTATTACTCATCCCTCTTCTTTTGTTTGATTCCATCCATCCATCTTTCCTCTTTCCCTCCTTCCATCCTTCCTCCCAGGCTGCCTTTCTCTCTCCCCCTCTTCCTTCCATCCTCACTCACTCCTCAATCCCTTCTATCATTCCTATCTCCCTCCCTCCCTTTCTTACATGTATTCCACTACTCTCTTGTTATTCCTTCTGTGTAATAATCCAGTTTCGAATTCTCCAATGCTCTGTGTTAGCCTCATTTGTGCGCAAAACATTCCTAATTGTGAGAATAAAAGTGTGAGATTTCAAATCAATTCCATTGTCTTTCTTTTCAAATTCCATGCGTTTTCTCKGGCTATCAATGAAACAAAAGATTATGTTGCTTGGTTTTGAGGCTAACACAGAGCAAACCAGAACTCGAAATCGGAGTATTCCAACTGAATATTTGTTTGATTATAATTACTTTATTGTTGTTGTTGTTGTTGTTTCCCCCTAAATTATTATTATTAAATGGAGTTTCTTTTTTTAATGTATTTTTTTCAGGTGCCTCTAAAATGGCGCTTACATTTGATGTCAATACCAGAAGGCGAATGCTACGTTTTCTTTCCAATACTGATGTTTTTGCACAGGATTTTGCTACTCAAGTAAGTGGATACATGTTCAGAATAATGACACTGATGAAGAATGGCAATGAGGCTGAAACGCTCAACAGTTCAAAAAAGTTGCAATTAGAGGGGATTGTTTTTGATTGTAATTCATTTTAATAAATAAATATCATTATCAATTATACTCAACATCATGTCTTATTCAAAACAGAATCTTTTAAATATTTATTTAGTGATTTAATTTTACTGATTAACAGTGTTTGTTTCTACAGAGTCCAGTTCTCTTCAACGGTTTCCGTAATGGAGACATCAAGAGTTCTGATATTCGCTTAACAGGGTCACGTGTTCCTTGCTTGTTTATGGCTCAAGATAAACCAATTACATCACTAAAACTACTACGAGACGAAGTGTACTTAATGGTCAGTGGGATGGATGATACTGTAAGTACACCTTTGCTGGTTTTTGCTCTTTTAAGACTTTTGTTCATATTTGTTTAAGTTTTATTATATAAAATGTAGAATTCTTGTAATTTAGTATACGTGTAGTCCAACTTGAGCCGTAAGTAAATGCTACAGATTGCAAATTCTTTTAATAGGGTTTGCATCCAGGAGTTTCTTCAGCAGGGAATGGGGGATGTAATGTTAACTTTATGTTTACAGTGAACCTTTGCAACTTAATGTAAGATTAGGTCACACATCCCCTCCCCCCTTTTGTGGTACTAGTAGAATGTTTATGCTTAAGAATAAATCATTATCGCTTGATTTATGTGACAGATAACAATAATATATTATTAGATACGACGGTGGGATTTACGAATGTCAAAAGTTGTTCAAGAATATCATGGTCACTGTAATACAACCACACTTGGCCTTTCTATCTTCATGGATCCATCAGAGTCATTACTATTTGCAGGTATTGTGAGTTGAAAGATGACACAACTCACTTGACTCTCCTTATATTAGAGTATAATAATAATAGTAATGAATGTACTCTTAGAGCATTGGTTTTTTTTCAGCTGGTGAAGACTCTGTCACACGTATCTGGAGTGTCAGCAGTGGGGAGTTAGTCCATACCATACCATTCCCTGTTGAAGAAAAAACCAACCTATCCTCTATACCTGCTCTTAGCTWCTCTGATGAGTGGGGKGGACCTGGGGGTTTACCAGGGCTTATGTATGGAASCAATGAAGTGATGCGCTGGTATGGTACGTGATGATGGTGTATGATAATTCTTTTTGTCCAAGCGAAAAAATGGAGAGTGTATAGTAAGATGTGACTGAAGAAAGTTGGAAATTCAGGATTCAAGAAACAGTTACTGATGTTTGAAACTTATCAATGCTATAAATGTGTTTGGCGTTAAACAACGTTGGAATTCTGAGGACTTGAATATTGAGATATTGAACTGTTTTCAACTCAAAGTTTGAAATCATGAAAATGCATGTTTGACAGTTGATATTTCAAAACAAATCAATGTCTGAACAAGATTATTAATGATTGATTGATACTTTCAATTGAATGAAATTCACTGGGAATATTTGAAAAGAGGTTTACAGATGAAAGTTGCCATGGAAACAAAGTTGGCTGTGTAGCCCACAAAAGAAAATATAAACAATAAGAATTATTGATAATAATTAATAGATTATTTTAATAAGACACAAATAAGATTGCCTATATTAAACAGTGAAGGTGTCAGCTCATTCAACTTTGAAGCAGCAGTTAATAGCAGGAGACTAACAATATCATTATTATTTAATTATTAATATTATTTTTTTAAAACAATATTTGATGCTGCTATTAAAAAACATTTATATAGATGCTTGTTGGTAACATGGAATAAAAACATTGTTTTCAAAACACTGCTTGCTTTTACTTTGCTTTTGTTTTCTAAATGTTCTGCAAATGGCACATGATAGACCTTTTGCATGAAACATGGTTACTAAATCCACCATGCTGGATGGCAAAATACATGGGATGTTCAAAACAAAGAAAAGTCAAGTTTAACAGGCTGCATTCCATTTGTATGGCAAATTTAGTACCATGTGACGATTTCATTCAAAAAGCCTATAAAATGCAGTATGTTATAACCTTAATTTAAAAACAAAGGCATAAAGTAGCCACTGATGTCATTTATCAAAGTTTATTTTGTTATAACTTGGTATTAATAGTAACTTTGTAGTACAATAATTACAATATTCAAAACAAGTCTTGTATATGTTTCCTATAGTTCCTTTATGAATTTTTTATGTACAGGGCGTTACTAAACACTAAAAACAAAACTAATTTGTTTAATACAGTAATCGTTTTGAATCAGACTCCTGTTAAAACCATAAACTTTATATACATGTATTAAACCGTTTCAAGATTATTGTCCTCAAACTCAAATATTTCTGTAATGAAGTCCAGTCTTTTTACTGACAGAAAAGCACAGGAAGACCACTGTTGATATGCTATAAATCCTTGCTTTTCAAACATTTATCACACACCCGAACAGGTTGGTCCCAACCCCTAGAGGGGACAGGCAATCGRTGCTTGGAGCAATTGTCACACACYCCTTGTCCACAAGCCCTGCAGTGATGTTTTTTGTCCTTGACCTTGAACTCTGTTTCACAAATATAACACTCGCTGATCTGTGAGTCTGGGACCCAGTAGCTTGGACGTGCTGCATCTGTTAGTATCTCTCGAGGGTAGTCTAATGCAGTCCCTAGTGTCTCMACAGCTGTCTGGACACCCTCGATCATTTTTCGAGCAGCTCTTGGTCCCAGGGTTTTGTCGACTAAGGTTTGGTTGCTKTCATCTTCTAATGCATCTGATAATTCACTAGATGAAAATAAAAATGGATTTTAAAATTCAAATGGAAGTAAAGTGTATGACAATTCTTGCTAAAGAAAAAAAAAATGCTTTTAAAACAATATTTTTCATATGTTAAAGTGTGTTTTTTATTGAGACCATGCTATCTATTATCAGGAGAGTACACTAATAACCAACCTCAAGTCTAATGCAGGATGTTGTTCTCTGTCYGYTTGCTCKTCATTGAAGCAGATATCGCAAACACGCACAGGTTCTGTACCCCAGCCTCGTTCTGGCACAGGTTTCTGATTGGATGAGCACTCGTCGCAAAATCCCCCACCACATGCACGGCAATGGTGTTTTTTCTCGCCAACATCAAATGGACGTTGACATGCTTGACAAGCCTAATGTTGCATAAAGAATGTTTTAGCAAAATAACCTCTACTGTCAAGTATTTCTTTCCTGCTGTCTCAGTTACTATTTAAGTTTAGCTCATGCAAGAGAACAAACATTAAATGTGTGCAACACTTTCCACTATTTACTACAAAATAGTGTTAATTAAACAATAGAAAACAATAGAATTAGCATAATTTAGCAGTATTTAGTGGTATTTATGTTGCACAGTTTTAGTGTTT